CATCATACCACCAGCGGACGTCTTGTAGCGCTACTAAGCTCTGATTGGTGGAATTCCATTTCCTTCAATCCGTATAAAAGGATTGAGTTTAGGTGGAAAGTTTAGTTTGCCTAGGACACATCAAGGGAACTCATGTTCGTTTAGCTTCGCCTAAGCTTGCCCAGAAGATTGTTTTGTCTCGCTGTGCAGTAACTAACGCAAGGTGTCCTTTTTGACGGACCTGTTGTTGTGGATTAAAAGCATTTGAACTTTGTTACACTTGACGTTTTGTAATTGTTTTGTGAACTTTTGTAACTGTATATACATTTTACTTGTAATATAAACGTTTTTGTTAAAATTCAGTAACGTCTATTCTTGTTGTGAATTTGACTCAGTACATTGCGGATTCTTTATTTGTGAATGTGGTTTACTCTAAGACATTATAAAATAAGATGATTTTGTAAGGTTAAATAACAAATACAGTTATTAAAATTATCATACGACAGTAGAAAATAAACTAATTTATATTAAATTTACCAATATCGAGTGGTGCTGATGACAACGCCAAATGGTAGATATTGGAGCTACTGTGGAAAACACCAATATTGAGCACTTAAAGACTGCTAAATAAGGCAACAAGACAGAAACACAGATGTTTTCATGTTTCGTTCTCTAGGATTTATGATGATTATATTAACATTTACTGTAAATGTACATATTTTAATATGATTTTATGTGCTTTAATGCTTTTCTAGTGATATTACAACTTCAATATTTGTGGCGGATGGACGTAAAGTCGAATAAAATGACTTAAACTTGATTTTTATTTTTCCATATATTTTTTGACAAACGACATATAATCGAGAACGATAACTTGAGGTAAACCTGTACTGTATATAGTTTGACAATGATAACTGGTAATGATTGTGCATTATCAACCACATGTTGAAACATAAAAAGACAACTTAAAAATGCCTATTTACATAAAGATAATGATAAATATAATTGAATTTTGATTACAATAAGCAGATATTTTTTAATAATGTATTTTAACTTAAATGTTTTGGTGCTTGCTAATTCTGATAACATTAAATGATAGTAAAATTACTTATTGTAATCAGAAATATTGTTATCTATGCTACCAAATTAAAAATATAAACACTTAATAATATTTTGAGCAATAACTGAAAATTTTTCAATACTTTGTTTTATTTTATTTGTTTAAGTTTAGATAAAAAGTTAATAGATATTTTTATGATATTAAAATGTATCAATTTAAATATTTATAGTGTTTATACTTAAATGTTACTTGACTTATCTCAATTTAGAAATATTAACTAGATCATGCCAGAAAAAAATAGTATTTAATTAATATTAATTAAAAGTTTAGAATAAATTTTAATAAATATTAACAATTAATGATTAAAAATTTATTCTAAGTTTTTAATAAATATTAGAATAAATTTTTCAGGTTAATTTCAATTATTGCTAGTGAAATTATCTAATTTATATATAAGAAAATTTATTTTATTGAAAATAAAAATTATATAATATATTTCTGATGAAATTAATAGTTTTTATTAATAATTTCATGAAATTTTTGCAAATTGAGTAGTTATAAATTGAGTATATGAACATGAAGATTTGTTAACATAACAATATTTTTCAATGTACTGTTAAAATTTACAAGCAACATCAAAATAATCAGATAAATTTGTTTTAATAATTAATGATTAGGTACAATTTAATGAGATGGATAGTTTATTAGAATATATCTTTTATTGTTAAATTACATATTATTGATAAAGTTGTATTCTGATAGTTTTGTATATTTACTGGAAATTGTTTGATTTAACAATAAAACATTTATTTCTTAAAATAAATTAAATATTATATACGTTTTAAATGCCATTTATATTCAAGTTTGATCTCAAATCACATTTACAATTTGAATTTATGCTTACACAGGGTTATTCATAAGTCCCTACAGAGTTTAGGTGCTCAATAGTGTAATAACCAAAGCAGATATATCGGAATGGCTTATATCAATAAGTAAAGAATCTCACCAAGTTTAGTTTTGGCTCTATCTTACAGTTGCTCTATCTTACAGTTGCTCTATATGTCAACTCTAATGACACAACAAACATCAATCCTGTATTCAAATTCCCGCCACATATGCCTCAATATCTCATTATCCATATCATTGACTTCATGGATGATCACAACTCTGCTAAATCATATGGTGGTAGGGAGCATGTACACACAATCTTTGATGTAATAAGATCTCATAAGAAAAATTCAAATGGGATTAGGTCAAGTGACCATTGAGACCACAGAAGAAAAGGAGAATCATGAAAAGCACATCCAATCCAATGAACAGCAAGTTCAACAAGGCAGTGGTGGATAGCTAAATAAAAGTGTGGCAGAGCTCCATCTTGTTAGAAAATGAAGTCTTCGCTATTGTCCACTAATTGTGGCATTAGCCACACTTGTCTAGATATGCAGTGCCACTAACAGTTTACTCTGAAAAGAAAAATTGGCCATAGATGGTGAAATCTGAAATGTTTTGACAGTTATTATGAATATAAACTTGGATTCTCTATTTATTGATATGAGACATTCTGCTATGACTGCTTTGGTTATTGTTCTATAAAGCATCAAAATATGGAAAAGATTAAAAACAACCCTGTATAATTAGCAACATTAATATTAGACAGTAATCAAAAATATTCTGAATTATTTTTAATTAATCAATTACATAAATTTAAAAACATATTTAATTTATCTTATATTATATGAACAATAATTCAACATTTAAAATGAATTAATTAAATTTATTTATTAAGTTTTTTGTTTTTAAATTAACTATTATAAAATTTAATTTGTATAAAGATTTTTAGTATTAGTACATTATAGTAGAATATTAGTAGAATCCATTATAATTTCTGAAACTGAGTTTACACTTCCAAATATTTGAGTTACTTTGCTAACTAAGGTTTAATTCCTGTAAAAAGACAGACTTGGTTGAAAAAAACCAATACATTTTAGAAATAAACAATTTCATAACTAACATTGTTTCAATTTTAGATTTTAAACATTAATTAATAGGACATTTAATATAACATTCAAAAATGTTAAATAATTTAACTCATGAAGTTACAATATTAAATCAAAAATCAATAAGTTTAATCTATAGACATTAATTAATTATATTATATATTTTTTTCCAATAATGAACTGTACAAAAATGGAACAGATTTTTATTATTCAAAATTTATTAATTAGAAAACTAAATTGATACTGAAGAAATCTACATTCAATTTAAAATGATTGTTTTTTGCATTAATGGAAACAATCTTTGAAAGTTTTTGTATTAAAAATTGGATTTCTTTAAGTAGGTCTTTCTGATATGTAATTTGATCACATACTGTATATAAAGTAGAATTATTATAAAGTGAGGTTATTATATAAATTAGAAATTAGTTTATATGTATAGAAGTAAAATTCTATCTTTTTTTTTATTAAAATGAAAAGTATTATAAAATTAGAATATTTTACATTTCTCCAAATTTTAAATGATTAAATTTAATAAAAAAATTTCCAAATAGAATGTCTTATTAATATTTCTTTTATTCATAATGATATTAAGAGAATAAAAACTATAATTTCCAAACAATATTGATTTCCAACATGCAATACTATTTTGTTTAATGAATTTTAATTCAAAATTTAAAATCTTTAATCTATAAAGTAAAAATATATGGAGGATAAATATAAAACATCAATCTAACTTTAGGAGACCCATTAAAAAATAACAGCCAATAACATAAATATAAATCCTGACATACTTCTCTTCCAAATTAAACATTTTCTTGGATATTGTTTACTCTGATCATTGGACAGACTGAAAGTGATTGATTGCAGGCTTTTCATCTACCTGATCTAAATTTATTGGATTTTCTATGAGTTATTTCAATACTGAGATTTCCAATGACTGGACAATGATTGGATATGAAACAATTACAATGTTTCAGATAATTTAGGACATAGTTACAAATCTCTAAATGATAACAATTATAATTTATAATGAGGGAAACAAATTTGAATATATCCTAAAAAGAGGAAAAAATCAGAAATTTTGCAAACATATTATTGTAAGTTCTCTAGATTTTCAATTTGTTTTCACACACATTAATTAATAAAAATGTTACTTTCAATTTTATTTGTTAAACAGAGAAAAACTTGTAAACAACTTATTTATTATAGATAATAGTTTGTTGAAAGAGAACCATTTTTATTTTTATTTGATAATTGTTTTCAAAACTATCACAGAATATAGAAACCTAAAAGAAGGATCAAGTTATCATATTCAGTAACTCATCTCTAAAAATTTATTGTATATTTTGTATTTTTTGTGTGTGTAAAAATAGTTGACATGAAATTAAATTTGTTATGGTATTCTATTATCATTATTTTCTTTTCCAATAAAATTTATAATTATGAAATGACAATGTTTTTATATTTGTAATTTCATTTATCTAAAATTTGAAACCCATCATCAATTATTAAAAACATATTTACCAGAAAATTTATTTCATTTATCAGAATCCTGCAAATTAAAATACTCACTTTTTTTATATACTCACCCAATTACATAAATTTCATGAAATTCTTGCTGATAGATTTTAACCAACGATCAATTCCCCATTTAAAATGATTTTGGATGTGTAATCAAATTAAATTTAAAAATCACAATTTTAAATTTATAAGATAAAACAGTTTTGATCTATCCACTTTGTAACATCTGAAATATCTGTAGGAGAAATTTTATAAAATAAGCAATACTTAGTCTCAGTCTATCATAATCCTATAAAATAATCATAATCCTATTATGTTCTTTTTATTACTTTCATATTTACTTACAGAAATTACATCCATGTTTATTCAACTGACTTACCTTTCCATATGAAACAGAACCATTATTTTATTTGACCAAAATTTTACATATCCATCTTACTTACGTGGATAATGAGGCATTCCATTGGCATATACTTCACCAGTCTGACCATTGGCTTGGGGCATGGTGAAATTCGGCATCGTAGGGGAAGGCAGGTTAGGAATAGCACCATTTACAGCTTGAGTCCCCGCACCTATAGATAAGAAAATATCTCTTTCATATATTATTTGATCATTTTGCCTTGAAGATAATCAGAATGTGCTGACTGAGATATTTTGTTTACAATGCCAAATTTACAAACAGGGTGTCCCAAATTTTTTTAAAGCATTTTATTAGATTGAAAAAATAAAAATAAAATATAAAGTGATCATTTTCAGCAAAATTTTAAAATAAAATAATTAAAAAGTGGAAATTATATAATAATCCAATTTTATATAACTTATATGATTCAATTTAACAATTATTTATATAATTTAATCACTACAGCAATTATAATAAAATAAATATAAAGTTAAAACAATTATTTTCGAAAATTTAATTTTTTGAATAATCATTTATGCCAAAACTTGATAATGCAAAGAAAATAATTGATATCAAAATATACTGAAAATAAAACAAAAATAATGATCCATCACCTTCTGAATAAGTTCAACTTTATTATCCAAAAATCATTTTTTGTATAACAATGTTCAAACTATTACTATGATATAAAATAAATCATCTAAATTCAATTCTTAAAAACATATCCATTACAAAAACTATTCATCTATTACAGAATTTTTCTACTCAAAACAAATCAACATATCTAATTCCTTTCCAGTCCAAACCTTTGAAAGTTCTAACTTCTTTCAAAACATTTTCAAAGCTATTCAGTTAGCATCTTCAATATTAAAATATAACCTTAATTGTGCTTTATTTACATAAATCAATTTGTTAATTAAAATTAGTTGTCAAATTAATGATTAGTATTTAATTTAATAAATTAATAATTTTTTTAAGTTATACAAATTATTTCACATTTAATTGTTTCGTAATTTTCAGTTTTTTAAAATGCATAATTTAATTTTAACTGATCTCATATCAATTTGCAATGGTTAACATATTTGTTTAATTTTTATTTCATTTATTTAAGGAATAAAAATCTAAGATTTAAGAGCTGAATACTTTTTAAAATATTCTGAAAGATAATGGCATTCTGCAAGTTTAAAAATAAGATAAATTTATTTATTCATTTAATATATAGAGCTATTTAATGAATACATTAATAAAATCTAGATTGCAAATTTCTTTAATAGATAGTTAAAAAATTTTAAAATGTATTTTAAAATAAAATGAGGATATATGATAATATTACAATTGTAACTGTATGGGTTATTACTGGTATATACATTCCTGCAGTCTCATTCTGAGAAAATTGAAATTTTATGTTAAATAACACATTTCTTGTAGAAGAAAATTTAGATTACTGGTAAATTAAACTAGGAAACTCGTTGAAATTAATATGTGCCAGATTGCTACTTATTACACTGAATAATTTTAGTCAAAGGGTTAGATTAATACATTTATTAACAATTAGATTTCTTGAAACTGATATGTGTTATATTATCTATTGAATATTTAATGAATTAAAATTTAAAAAAAAAATCTAGATTCAGAATGAAAAACTCAAAAGAAAATTTGGATACACACTTTTGTAATGTTAAATATTATTATAAAATATAATGGTAAATATAAACATGTAAATAATTCAAAATACAAAAAGATATAAAGTAATATTAAAGACAAAAATCTACTTATATATAAAAGTAAAAAGACTAAAATGCATTAATGCAATTAAATTGTATCAAAACTATCAAATAGTATCATATGTACTATATGAGTAAAATTTTCACATGGTACATGACAAATTTTTAGTTTTGTTCCTATTCCACAAGCAATTGTGTTTATTTCAATAAAAAACTTCTATATTAATAAACAGTTTTTTCATATATAATTTCATATAAAATTATTATTTGTTAGAATAAATATTTGTAAACTAAAAATGTTAATGATCTTGTTGAAGAGAAACAATTTTACAGTTAGTAATTCTTACTGAAAGTTGTATGTAAGGAAAAAAAAATTATTATTATTATAAAATAAAAAATAATAGTTTCAAAGAGAGAGTTTCATATTTATGATTTCAAGTAATTGTTTAGTTTATCTTATAATAGAATTGTCTTTGTTGTTAATTAATAACCTCTTAATATGTTATACATAAGTGTATAATCATTTATATGTAAGGCAAAACCTTTCACACTTTGTTTCTAGCAGTTTAATCACTAAGTACAAATGTTTTCAGCCTTTTTGAATGGTCTTCTTCTGAACTGACATTCCAACCGATCTTATTGTAAGGTCTGTTGGATAATAAGTACAATAATGTCGGTTGGAATGTCGGTTAGCAGATATTCAAATGACATCACTGTTTACAAAGGTTTCTTCTTACTAGTGACGTCATTGCTGATAACAAAGTTTAGACGAAATCAACATTGTTAATTTTTTTTTTATATTATTATCCAAGGTGTGTGAAAGACTTGGTTTTGCCTTACTTATTTTAAGTAGTTCTACCTTTGAATGCATAGAAGTATAATCATTTATTCATAAAATTAATAATTGATTAATTTCATAAAATAAATAACATCAATAAAGATATGTTTATTTTAAATTAATATAAATTTGTAAAACAGTAAAATCTAAAATGTTCAAATGACATAAATGATAATGTATTTGACTAACATGCAAAAATTTCTTATTTTAATTTCAAATTAACATTTCATATGTAAATATAGAATTTGATTTCTTTCAAATATGTTTAATATTTGCCAATTTTACAATTATCAACAAAAGACTAATGAAAGTTTGCACTTTCCATTCTATTCTATATCATTCCAGCAGAAATCAACATTACTGTAATTCATACACTTTATTTCTATTTACATAAAAAATTGATTTTTTTGTTTATATCATTAATATGTTTGGCTAAATAACTGATAATTAATGTTTTATTGGTATATATTTGAGACCACTGCAGATTTTGGTTAGGTCTTATAATGCCTAAATTAATTCTAAAAATGCATTTGTAATTTACACAGCAAATTACAATATAGTTTATAAAACATGAGAAAATAGGAAAATAATATTCTGGAAATATTAAAATATTATTATAATGTGGTTATATTTATGGATATAATATTTTTTTAACGAATTCATATTTTAAGAAGTTTATATCATCATCAGTAACTACAAATACAATTAAAAATCTTCTTCAATTTTTACTGAAATTTCATTTTTATTGTTGATAACAGGCCTACTACAAAATTTACACAAGTACAGTACTTCAAGTATTAAATATTTTCAAAATTATTATTTATCATCAAGAGAAAGAAAATAATAAACATATCAAACCTCAAGTTCCATTTGAAATAAAATTAAAAAGGAAATATAAAATAGTATAGACTTAAATTAGCACTATTTTTGAAGTCAGAAGCATTTTTTCAAAAAGTATCTGCTGGATTTTAAGATCTTTCTTTCTTATATTAGATTGTATCTGTCAATTTTGAAATGGTTCCTAATTTTAATGTTATATTATTTATTGTTCAGAAAGATGACCATATTCAATATATCTTACTACTTTATAAGATTAACAATTTAAGTTAAATTTATTCATTGTCATTCTTTGGCATGCTTTCATTAAGTTTCTTCTTTTTAAACAGATAATCTAACTATTAAATACGTCAAGATGTAATATAGGAATACATCACTCACTTGTCAGTGCTTGTTCATTTAGTGCAGAGTTCACTTTAATACAGTTTATATGTGCTAGATAATTTCAATTAATGTAGAATGATTCACTATAATGCAATCACTATCAGCCTAATATGTGTAAGAGAATTTATAACTATAGTTTAAAAATAAATTTTAACAAAAACTAGCATAAATGTACAGAGAGTTCATAATAAAAAGCTAAACAATGCCATTTTAGATGTGTTTTTAACATATAAATTTATTTTACTAAAATATTGGCTAGCTTTTTAGAAACGTTCAGAGAAATTCTTACTCCACATAAGTATCTATTTAACAATTAAAAAATGAAATTTAAAAAAATATAGTACAACATATTGCTGGCAGCAATATCAATTTAAACTGAGAATTAGAAAAATGGCTAGTGACATACAAACCAGCCACTCATTCCTCAACACTTATCACCTTTTTGTGTAGCACAATTTGGACATTTTTAGGTATATTTTTAAAAGGTATACTGGCATAATTTTGATTAACAATCCATGTGCAAAATGCAGAATTTACACAAAATAGCATTAGAAAACCTAACTCAGTGCTATCAGAAGTTTCATGAAGATAAGTGAATCTAAACATCATTGAATAATTTTTTTCCCTTAATAAAAATATTTAGAAATTAGTTACAAAGTTATAAAAATTTTGCTTTAATAAAATCTTTTTATTTCATTTTCTTGTTATTTTTATGAATTTTATGATCTTTAATTAAATCAATCCTATTTATATTTCAAGTCATAGATCTCTGTTCAAACAAATCATCATTTTTCCTACTAAATAAATTTTGATTAGTGCAATTTGATTAATTCAATAATCTTCTAGAATTCATTAACTGCACTAATCAGAATATTCCTATATTTCTCAATGATAATTAACAACAATATAAATGCAAAATAGAGAAGAAATTTTTTAAAAAATATATAATGTACAGTTTAATTTCAGGAATAAGTAAAAAGTTATAACAGCATGTTTTAAACTGCAGTTGAATTTTGTAATTATTTTCCAAACTATTTTATAATATTCTTTATGTAACATATCATGTTTTAAGATTTATAATATATTTTTTAATTAAAATCGGAAAAATGCTTGTATTGAATCTTTGATAACACTTTATATACTGAACTTTTAATAAAGATTATAAAATTTTTGGTTTTGAGACTAAAATTTTAATCATCTCATACAACAAAAAATAAAAAATCATGACTTTGTTAGATCTGGTATTTTGTTTAAAGAACGAGATTCAGTAATATTAATTCTGTTTTTGCTATTAAAATGAAAACCATCAAAAAAAGAAAATAAAAGCTATAAAAACAAAATATTACTAAGAATTTAAAACATTAAACAATAGAATTTCAACAAAATATT